CTATTTTAATAGGTTGAACTATATAATATGTATATAGACATCAAACAAGCTTTTGTTAGCGTGAAAAGAAACAAAGTTTTGGAAGATATTAGTAACCTGGACGTACCTAACAAATATATTAGTCTCGTAAAATACTGCAGGGTCCAAAAGCGGCAGTAAGGGTTTAAGGGAGAACTAACTCCTCTATTTGATATGAATGTGAAAGTGAGACAGGGAGACGTACTATAAGCCATGCTGTTCAACCTAGATCTTAAGGCGGTGATCAGAAAAATCCATATAGGAAGAAACTGACAGGAAGACGAAAAAAAGAAAGACCCAGAACCGGATGGTTGAATGACGTAGAAGACGACCTAATAACTATCAACTTAAGAGAAGGCACAAGAGAGGTCTGAATAGAGCAACATAGCCAGACAGACAAAGACTTATCCAGGGTTATGATGCCAAAAAAGAAGAAGAATTAAGAAATTTAAACAAGAAATACATTCAACAGCATGAAAGAGGTACTCTGCAGCAGGTATATCATATCTAGAACAGTTAATGAGACGTAAACGTTTCAAAATTCTGTAATAATGCAAGGGAGAATACAGAGAAACAGGAGTTCTAAAAGCAAACGTATTTCTTGGTTGAATTATAATTTGGGAATCTGGTTTAGATGTAGTTTCGCTAACCAAGTTACAAAAGTGGGATCAAAATACGAATTGTCATGATGATATCCAAGCTTCATGGAGGAGATAACACATACAAAAATAATGTCTGTACACCTGCTACTTAGTGCGAAACTATCAATTTGATGTATATTGTTCTCTAATCTAAATTTTAATTAAAATTCAAACATTTGTATGCAAAGATTCAAGTATTATTCATACAACATGGAAATTAAACAGTCATTTAGATTTTATTATGCTGTTTAACATAATCACTACTATACCACATGCTGAAAATCTACAGGTTAAACCACAAACACACAGCTTTATTATCATGTGTTTAAATGCTCACGCTGTTATTGTTATTCGTGGTAAATATTTCGATTATTTAAATAAAATTTAAAAAATAATTAGTGCGATTACAATTTTCAACCTGCTTCGTCATCATTTGGGTAAATGACTTGACATAAACCACTTTTTACTACTGAGTAAAAACCAATAAATAGTACGGGTTTGTGACATACAAAGTATGTGTTTGTAAGGTCACATTTTCAGAGTGATTGTGCAGCATTTGAAGATATTTTTTACTGTATTATGGTTATACTGCATGTGTCTATATTTTTACGACATGTTCTGGAAAAGGTTAAACGATTATATTATAGATAATTCTACAAATTCTTAGAAATACATTTATATTTTTACTATCCTTATTAAAATCATAACAGTGACGTCAGAAAATAACAAATTAGTACAATTAATTTAATTTTTGAAATTCAAGTACCCTCGTGTCTTCAGAAAAAAAATTATTTTATTCCAAAAATAATATATAAACTAATTTATCTCTTAACGTATGGTCCTAAAGTTTTGGGAAAAATTTCACCTGGTCTGATTGAGAAGCAAAATGCATTTAACAAAGAAGGCCATGGAATTGAAATGTCATCAGTTATTGACATTTAATAAACAAAGCAGAATATTTTGGTTTGTGCTCTGCAAAATGTCTTATAAAATTGATATTCGTCGAGGTGTTTATAATATGGTTGGGCGAATGTCGAAACGAGATATTGTTAATATTTATCGAGATCAAAACATAAGCAAATCGACAATTTATCGCACAATCAGAGAATGTGAAGAAGGATACCATGTGTTAACTTGCGTAAAAGTGGATGACCGCGGATTTTGAACCATATAAGAGAGGCAAGACTGATTGAAGCAGCTAAGAACAAAATTGGGGTCTCACAGCGAAAACTGGCCAGAAGATTTCATGTTGGAAAGACTACAGTATACAGGACCCTATCGAGTAACAATATTATCTACCGGAAAAGAAGGAAAGCTCCAAAATAGACAGAGGATCAATTAGAGAGAATTCCGAGATGTTGCCGCGCGTTAAGGCGAGTGCATTTCGTCAAAAAGTTGATTGTGATGGACGATGAAAAATATTTTACTTTGTCCAACTCTGAGATGAAGGGTAACGATCGGTTTTACACGAACGATTACGAAAATGTACCTGATGAAATAAAATTCAAAAGTAAGTAAAAATTTGAGGACAAAATTTTGGTATGGTGTGCAATTTCTGAGGCTGGCTTTATCTCACAGCCCTACATTGGTGTTGTTCGAGGCGAAGCCTTAAACGCAAATATTTATATTCAAAGATGTCTCTCTAAATTGCTTCAGTTTGTGAACACACATCATGCAAATGATCAAATAGTCTTTTGGCCAGATCTTGCTTCATGTCATTACGTGAGGATCACAAGGGACTGGTACGAAACTAACAACATTACCTTTGTACCGAAAGCAGACAATCCCCCAACATACCTCAGGCTCGTCCAATTGAAGAGTTCTGGGCAATATTAAATCGGAAAGTCTATAATAACGGATGGGAAGCACAAAATCAGGAACAGTTAAGACGCCGCATATATACAAAAATTAGAGAAATTGACGCCGAGGTCGTCCAAAGGATGATGCAACGTGTCAGGGGAATTATTAGGCAAATCGAAAATAATGGTCCCTTGTCTGTCATTTGAATTTTGATTTATAATAAGGATAGTTAAGTTAAATTGTTGAATAATTTAATAAATATAAGATTATTGTGGTCAGAGTTATATGCTTTTGAAATTTTTCCCAAAACTTTAGAACCATACGTTACTTGCACTGGGTTTTATCATCATCATCACTGGTACTACAGCCCTATGAAAGAGCCTCGACCTTCCCAAGTCTATTACGCCAGGCAGTCCTATCCATTGCCAACCGTTGCCAGTTTGCTGCGCCTATCTTTCTATCATCCTCATCTACACCATCCTTCCATCTGAGTTTTGACCTACCCTTTTTTCTACTTCCCACGGGTTATGACATAAGGATTCTTCTAGGAGGGTTGTTCTGCTGTGATCTTACTAGATCTCCTGTCCATCGTAGTCTTCCTATTCTTACAAGAGATACTGGGTTTTATACCAGTATATTTAAGTATGTGGTGATTCCATTATTGACCTTAACATATTTTTTTGAACAGTTTTCAACATATAACAGTTTTTATGAATTTGTTTGAGGGACCGCTTTTTTGTTAAACGCTTATCGAAATAACTTTTTTTTCAAGCAATAAAAATCCAAAAAAAAAATAAAAATTTCTAAACTAACTTCGACATTGTAATTGCATTAATATTAATTATCAGCTACTCTGGGAATTTGCTTATTTTTAATTTCTTCTAAAACATCACATCTATCACACATAGTCCAGACTTCAGAGATAGTCCAGTAGTCAGAGAGTTGACCCCTAAAAACCATATGAACAAGCTGAATTTTGACGAGAATTTAAATTTCGGGACCCCAAAGAAGATGCAAAAAAGTTGACCACTTTTACCTCCAGGCTTTCCTTTAAAACCTCCCTCGTAGGGGGTAAAAAAACACAAACAAATCTATTTACCAAGAATCCGTACGCCATAGAGAAGAATGTTTTAAATAAAAAATGTAGCTGAGATAATTTTAAATAAAAATGTTTCCTAGTACTTTTTGTGTAAAATGACCGTTCTCTCACAAATAACGCTTGAAGCGACCGTCGATTTTGAATGCCAGTTGTACGCGAAATCAATGTTTAATACAATTTGTATCAGCTCGACAATAAAAATTCGATATCTTCTGATTCAAGTGTCCTATCGACAAAAATCAAGATGCGTTTTAAAGGTAAAGAGTTCATCTTTCGTATGCAATTTTTGTTTTTTGCCACAAATATACTTAGATTTTATAAAGGTCCTAAATAAATAAACGTGGCGCGATTTTTACCATTCTTTACGATTTTCGTGAGATCCATATTGATCACTTTTATTGATAATTTTTCGACTGTTCTAACAACCATTCAAATTTCGTCATTTTGTGTCATGTGGAACAATTTCACCCAATCATGTCAACATTAGACTGATAATTACATTCAGTGCAATTTTCAATCCCTATGACAACACGATCGAGTTTGACAACTTCATCCAAATAAATTTCAAAATGTCACGTTTCGTTAATCTAATGTTAACTTAAATTTTAATAATTGTACTTTCACTAACTGTACTTTTAATAAATAAATGTTTCGTTAGGTTGAGTTATGATTTTTTTTTTTTTTTTTCGAAAAATTATCCGCCGAATATCCCTCGGACATTGATGAATGCCTCATAATTTCGAGACAAATTTCTCAAGCTCGTTGCTTGGTAACAGCACTCAGCCTTTGGCTTCGTGCTGTTACCAAGGAACGAGCTTTCAATTGTCATGAAATTATCTCGTCTGTTATCAATGTCCTAGGGATATTACTACTGATAACATTAGCTGGTAACTGCTAGTTACCAGCTAATATTATCAATAATTCCGTTTGAAGGAATTATTAATTAATTCAGGCAAAGTCCGTTTGAAGAGGTTTACTCTCCGGACGCTGGAACTCACTTAAAGCATGGGTGTATGTTACCTAAAGTAAAATTTAATTAAATAATTAACATCAAATATTAATAACAACATTATGTACAATCTTTGTTAACCTTATACATTTTAAAGGGTTTTTACCCTAATATTTTGGTGGCTCAGGCATGTTAACCTGCATTTTTAACCTGATGATGGAATTATTATTCCGAAAACGTTCGTCTTATTTGATGTAGCCCTTTTAAGTGTTTTTTAAATATACCCATTTACAAAGATTTAACCTCTTTTTTATATTAAATGCTTTCTAAATACGTAATTACGCAGTATGTTTTCTACTATAATAAAATAAAGTTGACATTATACTTAAAAATAAATTAACATTATAAAGTATATACATCCAAAATAACCTTGGATTTGTATTTTTAGTTTTGCAAACTATTAGGTACGATAATCGATTTACTTTTCTTCCAGATTGATAATGGATGGCGAAGATGAATTCTACACAAATAGTTACTACTCGCGGACAAGTCAAAAAAGTAACAATGGTAGCGCCGACATGGGGGATATGTCATTTATGATCGATGACTACCTTAAAGAAATCATGAAGGTAATTATTAATATTTAATAAAATACGTTAGGTATATACGAGAACTGATATTTTTAAGATTCGGTTTTACAACACCGGTATAGAAACGTCAAATATGTTAAATTTAACAAGGTTCTGGAACTGTTTTCTAGTGGCATGTGTAAGTTAAATATTTTGTTTATATGGGGTTAAGCCACAATTGATTGCAGTGATAGTTATATTTTTAACTAAAAAAGTTTGTCATTTCGATCTCCGGAAATCGTTCTCAAAAAATTATTGAAGAAGTTTTTTAAAAGAGTGTCTAACCGCCAAAGTTGTTGACGAGGTTGTGTCATTTGTGGCCAAAAATATCATTTATGGATTTTTGTCCTATGGAACTTTAAATTATGATTATTGTAAGTGTTCTGCATTATTAATATGCGCTACAAGCGTTTTCCTTCTAAAATTAAAACAAAATGAAATCAAAATGGTCAATAAACAACTATAATTTTTTTTCATGTCATATTTTAACCATATATAACGACATTTAAACATTTTTTGGCTTCATAATAACCTAACGTTACATATCTGTAGCTTAAACAAAACACCGGTTTTGTGTACGTCTATGAACATTAGTTTTGGAAAATACCCAACCTAACATGTATATAGAACTATTAAATAAACAAATTTATACAGGGTGTTTCAAAAAGGTATGTCATAAATGAAATCATGCATTCCGGGGACAAAAATAAATTGATAGAATCCAATTTACCTTAGTACAAAAGTGTACACAAAAAAAATTACAGCACTTAGTTTGAATTGAAGTTACAAAATAAAAATTGTTTTTTTACATTATCTCCTAAACTACTTGGCATTTTGTAATAAAAATGGACACGTTACTTTCTTGTTCTGAAAGCATTTTTCATAAAAAAGAAACAACAAAATCTAAAAGCACAGAAAAATTTTAAGGAGGTGTGCAGCCCTATATCACCCCAAACTTTTGAGTACGTTCAAATCAAATGAATTTTGTGACATCATTAGTATAACACTTTATTTTTAAAAATTTTTTGCCTTATCACTTTTTTCAAAAAGCAGTTTTTATTGAGTTACGTCACATTTCATTAACCTTTAAAAAATTACGTGCAACTAAATAAATGGCTTAAATGAATTAACAAGTACAATAAGTGTCTATAACCTCTATAAATATGATATTACAATAAATGTTCAAAATGACCCCGATTTTCTTCAATACACATTCGGTATCGTTTTAATAAGGAAAACCGAATGTGCTGTAAAATCATATTTTTCTGACGAAATTGATTTGCAGCTTTAATTATTCTAACCCTCAATTGTTGTTTGTTCACTATTGTTACATAATGCACTTTCTCTTTCATAAACCCCCAAATGAAGAAGTCCATAGGGTTAAGACCTGTACTTCCGGTTAGATAAGAAATAGGTGCGTCAGGCCCATTCTAATCTACCGACAAGGATACTGCCTGCAAAGGTATTCCCGGACTTCATTACTGTAGTGCGGTGGAGCGCCATCTTGTAGAAACCACATATTTTGTCTTATTGCAATATTCACTTCTTCCAAATACTCTTGTAAATCGTTTGCCAAGAACTGCAAAGGATTATCACCATTTAAATTGTTGTGAAGAAATACTGGACCTATTAGATTGTTAACCACAATTCCTGACCAAACAGGAAAGTGCTTTGGTAATGAGTTTTTTTTTTGGCGTGAGGATTTTCGTCTGCCCAAATGTGCTCGTTATGATGGTTTGTTATTCCATTTCTACTGAAGGTAGCCTCGTCGGTAAACAAAATATTTCTAATAAAATTAACATTTCGAGTGTTTTCCATTAAAAACCAATCGCAAAATCCAATCCTTTTAGGATAATCTTTAACCAATAACTCTTGAACCGTTGTTAAGTGACAGGGTTTAAGCAGCTGATCCTTCAAACGCCTTAATGACACGAGTTTATTACAGCTGCCGCCGTTTCTCGCAACCTAGCTTCCAACGCTTGCGATCGTTCCAGTCATCTACTTGTAGACCCCTATCTTCCATTGCACCTTTTACTTCTTGTCTCCAGGATCTTCTTGGTCTTTTCTTTTTCCTGCGGTTGGTGGGGATCCACTGTAACATTCTCTTTGACCATCGTTGATCTTTCATCCTTTCTACATGGCCATACCATTTCAGCCGTCTATGCCCATACGCTCTCTGATTTCAGTATTCCTTACTCTATCTCTTCTAGTGAGTTGGCAACATCTTCTCCAATAATTCATTTCCATTGCTTTTATTTTGGATGCGTCATTTTTATTTATTACCCAAAGCTCTGAACCATATATAGTGTTACGATTTTAAATGTTATGGCATATAGAACTGTAAATATTTTATGACTAATTCTTTTTTATTGATTCTCGTAATTTGTAGGTCAAAATATACCTGAGCTTCGCTACCAGTTGTTTACAGAAATCTCTAGACACTAATTTTAGTGAGTCATCCACGTCTCGAGGTTGAAAAACGAGTCGAGCGCCTTCACCAAAATACGAGATCATTCCAGTATTTTCGACAATGGTCAGGTCAGGTCTAGGCGGTCTTACGGTTCTTTATATAAGAACGAAATTTTATTGAAGGGGCAGTCATAAGAAGATCGGTAAACGCGGTTTACTTGTAACGAAACGTGAAATAAATACATTTGTAAAGTTATTTAATAAATTAGTAATTAGCTATCGTGAGTTTTAATAAATTAGATTATAGACAATAAATTAGAATAAAGACAAATAAATTCGAACTATATAAATATACAACAATAGCAATGCTTTCTATGATACTTTTGTATATCCTAATTTTTGTGTTTCGAGTGAAGTGGTTATTCCAAAGTATACTATTCAGTTGACGTATTGCTGAATTTCCTTGACCAATTCTAGTAGCTATTTCTTTTGTATTCCGACCAATGTTTGTAATGTTTAGACCGAGATATGTATAGCTATCAGTATTTTGAATTTGTTTGCTTCCTAGTTCTAAGTGCTTTCATTCACCACCCACTACTACGTACTCTGTTTTTGATGGATTAATTGATAAGCCCCACTTAGTATATTCTTCATCTATTTTTCGTAACATGTAGTGGATATCATCTTGATCTTCTGCAAGTATTACTTGGTCATCAGCAAAATGCAAGCTGTACACTGTATGGTCTCCAATTTTAACACCCATAGGTTCACATTTTCTTTTCCAAATATCCAAAACCCCCTCCAAATAAATCTTAAAGAGTGTAGGTGCAATGCAGCAGCCTTGGCGAAGTCCTTTGGTCACTTTTATCTTTTTTGTCACTTTTTGTCCAATCTTTATTACACTCGTCATATCATCGTACAACTCCCTTACAGCATTAATGTAAATCGGTGGAATATTCTTGTCTTCTAGCACCTGCCGTAGCTTGGCTAATGGGACACTGTCATACACATTTTGAAGATCAATAAATACCATGTGTGTCTCCATATTATGTTCCAAACGCTTTTCTATTGTTTGTTTTAGCCAGAACACATTGTCTATACAAGAACGACCAGTACGAAAGCCACTCTGATCTTCAGCGTCTTCCCAACAATCTTCAATTCGACTTTTAATTATCTTCCCGTAGACTCAACAGATTGAGTTAGTTACACTAAGCCCTCGGTAGTTCTTAGCTTCAAATTATTGACTATATTGATGGACCTGTTTGTAATTATTGTCTGCGTAGAAACTAATTGTAAATTTATGGTCAACTAGGAAAAAACTGGTTTTTCGAAAAAGTGATAAGAGGCAAAAAAGTTTTAAAAATAATTTGTTGTAACAAATGATGCCACAAAATTAATTTGATTTGAACCTACTCAAAAGTTTGGGGGTATTTAGGACTGCGCACTCCCCTTAAAATTTTTCTGTGCGCTTAGATTTTGTTGTTTCTTTTGTATGAAAAATGCTTTCAGAACAAGAAAGTAACGTGTCCATTTTTATTACAAAATGGCAAGTACTTAGTTTAGGAGATAATTCAAAAAAACAATTTTTATTTTGTAACTTCAAAGGGATGTAACTTTTTTTGTGTACTAAGGTAAGTTGGATTCAATCAATTTATTTTTGTCCCCGGAATGTGTGATTTAATTTATGACATACCTTTTTGAAACACCCTGTATACAATATTGCATAATTGAAAAAGAAATTGGTTTTATAATACTTACTCAAATCGTACTCCGGTTTCCATCGAATCAGCCATGTTCACTAAGAATAAATCACATAATATAAACAATATAAAATATTCAAAGTTATTACACACAGCTCACTTCTAACGATAGAACTAGCTTATGAAAACTGACTTATCACACCATCTACCTGCTAATAGCCTAACTGAGGCCGCAAAAAGAATTTTGTACGGATTTACAAACGTTACATATTTATATGTAACGCCAGGTCATAATGGGTTAAACAGCTTTATGAGTTCAACATGCATTTTCAGGTCCAGGAACTTGCCATCTTTTAGCTTTGATATTTATTTTTCCACTTCATCTGATATGATTGGTAAATGGTCATTACATATGTAAGATGGAGCTTGTTCAGACCTGTGGTATTGTACTTTATCGAAATATATGAAACAGGCATACACTTTTGATTCATATCATATTTTGATATGCATCGTTGGTTGTACTAAAACATTTAATCCGAACGGGACTTACTTAGTGCCAAATTCTTGTCCAAATCCCATTTGCATATTTTACTATCAAGTCTTCTATAAATTCTCTTATAAATTATTTTCAAAAATAGCTTCATTGTATAAGATAATAGTGCTTTAGTACGATATTAGCTGCAGTCATGTGTATTATATTTGGAAATGCTAGAAATATTGATACAAGCCAATCTCTTGTTAGGAGCATTTTCCGTACATGTTCAAATTGTGAACGAACTACTTGTTGAATTGTTTTCTAACATACTGGAAATAATTTGGAAAAAATATATTGATGTAAAAATGTTTTTCAGTCTATGGACATGATGCGAGCTCACCAAATGCTTACTGACGTAGTATTAGAAGTAGGGAAAGACCTTTTTTATGCCCATAAAGTCGTTTTGGCCGCCGCTAGTCCCTATTTTAAGGCTATGTTTACCGGAGGACTCAAAGAATGTGATATGGATAGAGTTAAGTTACAAGGCGTTTCTGCCACTGCCTTAGCCAGACTCATAAACTTTATGTATACGGGGAGAATTAGAGTAACGGAAAACACAGTTTGTCAATTACTGCCTGCTGCTACTATGCTTCAGGTAAGCATTTGTTTACTACAGATTACTTTAGTGCCCGTGCACATATCTAAATTATTGTGATATATTGTTATTTGTGGAAAATTAACATATTTTACTTTCAGACATTATGGAAATTCATTTTCAATTTCAGACAATACTCGATGTAGCGTATAGTACACACCATAGATATTTCGTCCTCGAAACTATCTTTTTCAAACATAACCGCATTTAATTGTCCAGTTCTCATGGCAAATGATTAATTTTATCACTCAATGGAAACCATGGCGCAAATTGCACTTGCATATTAGTACAATTAAAAATATTTGATAATTAAAGATATGCAATGGAAATTGCTCCTCTTTTGTGTATTTTTGTATATTTATGAAGAACACTTTCATTAGTAGAAAATGTTCTTATAACTTATTTTAGTGTAATCTTAATTTTTCCAAGATAAATGTAGCATTGTTTGAAATCAATAGCGAATGCCCATGGACAATTGCACTTTTCGAATGAAGTATGTTATCATAATCTATATAAATCTGATCTTCCTCCCTTGCTTGATCTACTGTTAAGTCTGAGATTCGCTAAGTCAATTTGTGTACAACTTTTATTTGAACCATTTTCTAAAAAAAATGAATAAGAAACGTTTTATAAGCAAAAATATTGTTTCACTTTTTACGATTGTTTAATAAAAAAAACAAAGGAAAATTAGATGTGTCTCTTCACGGAATTGTCATTAGCTACCCCTCATATATATTCTTTTAGAACCTTTAAAGATTATCAAAAGAAATGTACAAGTTTTTTAGCTTTTTTTTTCTTGATTAGGGTAATACTATATATTAGGTTATTTAAGAAATGTCGTATTGGTACCGACGAAGATTTTTAAGTTTTCTAATGTTTAGAGCTTGTGCTGGAATTTGAAAATAAAGGTTCTCATTGATCGTCATGTGACTTAATACTCTTAAAAAAAGTAGATTAAACATTATATCTCACTATGGTCCTGAAGTTCTTTTCTTATGACATTTTAATATTATTTATCTTTAATGGGAATTGATCACAAATTCAGTTCTCAAAATAAAAGTTAAACAATTTTTTTTTGTTACTTGATAATATGAAAATTCTTCTAATTTTTTAATATGTGTCCCATTCAGATTAGCAATTCAGACAATTATAAATTTTAAAGTAGTTGACTTTTATATTTTTGAGGTGCGTTCCTGGAAAGACTTCATTGGAAGAAAATTCGTTTAATTACTTGAAGTTTTAACATATTTACATATTAAACACAACATAAAATACAGGGGAAAGCTAAATATAAGTCACTTGGGTTTACGATCAACAGACTATGAAATTAAATGAAGGCTAGTAAAAACAAGGACAGTAATTAGACAACTACACCCCATCTAGTGAGATCATCTTAGCATGAAAGCAAAAACACAGGTGTATAAACCATAAACATTAATGAAATTATTATGGCTCACGTTGCAGAAACCTGGATTATAATCAAGAGAAAAAGCACTTAGATGGCTAAAACATAGTACTGTATTCGAAGATGCTGTCGAATAGTAGGAATGAACATAATAAGATCTGGAGAAACAAGAAAAAATAGAGCAAAAAAATACTAGAAATATTACCATGCATAGAAAAGAAAATATTTAAGTGAATATTGAAATATATCTAAGAAGACCCAACGACAGCAGGTGGATAAAAAAAACATAACAGAATGGAGCGTCTCGGTTAGAAGGAAGAGATATCGGCCTTAAAAAATCTTGGAGAAACGAAGTAGACGAATCTATTTTTAAACCTATGTCATATCTTAATAGCAAAAATCTGTTCCAAAAAGGCATTAAATACGTACGCCTGTTCCACGCTTAGCTACTCATTTGGTATTATAAGGTGATCAAAAACGGATATAGAAAGTCTTCAGCGGAAAGTAAGAACATTTCTCACAAAGGCACAAAAACACCATGCAGTAGAGAGAACATTACCGCGGTATCAAGGGGGAGAGGACTTATGGACATAACTGGATAAACAGGTTGCTAATTTAAGAACCTATTTTAAGACGCAGGCTGAGACATATACTTTACATCGACCAATTTCCAGAGTGGATGGCACAACACCGCTCAAACGGAGGGAACCAGAAATTCGCATAGACCACCTGACTAAGCAAGAAAAAATGCGCATCTGGGTGAGTAAACCTCTGCATGGGCGTCATCTCAATGAGGCCAACCTAGAATATGTCGCCAATACAGCATCGAACCATTGGTTGACATCAGCAAAGATGTTTTCCGAGACAGAGGGTTTCCTACTTTCCATTCAGGATCAAACTCAAGAAATCATCTAACATCTTACGGGGGCTGCCAGACGTTTGTTGGGACTGATTACAAAGGACGCTATGACTTCATAGGAAAGATTCTTCACCAAGAACTAGATAGCAAACTGGGACTTCTGCAAAACGACCATCTCCCTTATTATAAATATCTCCCTGGCAGAGTGCTCGAAAACGACAACTATAAACTTTACTGTGCTCAAAGACCAACCAGTGGCACATAAAATCGCTACAAATGTGGCGACACCTAACAATAACAACTTGCGTATTAAATACAACGAAAAAATCGCCAAATACAGAGATCTGGAAATATAAATAAGGAGACAATGGAGAATGGAAGGTACTCATACGATACCTATTATTCTTTCTACTACTGGAGTTATTGTGAAGAGCCTATTAGAGAATATAAAAAAGCTGGGTCTTAATGACCATTTCTATAAGACCATGCAAAAGCAGTACTGATCTCAACATCTAGATACGTAAGAACATTTTTGAGAGATACTCCGACATACTAAGTCACCTAGGGCTCGATAACACGGAAAGAGTCCTACCATAGCTCAATCCTTTTGATACCGTAGGTATCTGGAATGAGTGAATTTTTCCCTTAGAGGAAATCTGAGCCGTATGGCTAAATCTGGACAATATTAAATGGTGGGTGTATATATTAAACACTCCCTTGTGAATCCATATTAATCATTCGTGTAGTATATACTTATTATTCTTTTACAATAAAGTTTAGATCGATGGATAGCATTATCAGCATTATCATGTTTTACCGTATGCACAATATGATCGGTATCCACATCTGAAAGGTCCAGGTGCAAAACAAAAGAACGACGTACAAAACTTGGAACACTCGTAGTCCTTTTAGGCTCTAGTGGCGATATGATAAATCTTATTGTTAATGAAATATGTTTCAACTCAAGTATTTCTCAAAAATTCTGTTTAAGTACTTATCAATGCATTGATAATAAATAGCTAAGATATGAACTAATATACTTATGATTATTCAATGATTAATAACTACTCAATTATAAGTGATTTTAATATAGCATATTACATTGTAAATAGTATAAGTGTGCAAACTGGAAAGTTTTAAAATCTAGATGCTGTGAGGATAGTTTCTCATTACATTTTGCCTTTAAATCTAGTGCTGGATATAAAACCTCCCCCTATTTGTCTCTATAATAACCAAGCATGTATTAACTCCAACGAACATTTGTTAATCTTTTTATAGAGTCTTTTCATCAACTTCATACCCGGGTATAATGTGCTCTACCCTTCTGATTTTACTCTTGAAGCACTTATTACCAATTTAGGTCCTATACCTTATTGAAACTGATTACCTTATTCAACTGATGGTCACTTTCAAGCCATCATATATTTCTATTCTCCCAATGAGCATTGATTAAGTCTCTTACTCATACGTCTTCCTCTAGACCTTCTTAACTTATTGTGGATCTTTCGTTTACTTTGTGATCTCTAATGAATATCTAGTTATTCAACTATCGTTCATTCTACAAGAATACGAAGTATCTTAATTGATTAATTAAATATACTACGAAGTGAAAAAAAACAAGTCCTTTGTTGTTTGAAATCTCCTTGTAGTGATGTAATCATTTCACTGCATCTTGTTTCTTTGGCTTTTACTTTTTATTTTTTGATGTTGTCACTCAATATATTTTGAAATGTATAGGATAACAGAAATAACTAAAATCACGATATGCGTGAACATGAGGAATCACAAAGGCGAATGAATTAACACTGTCAAGACTACTCGGCGGGATTGTCAGTCTGCAGTACTACTAGTTTGATTTTCCGTTTACGGTGGTACACGTGTTAATAGACAGCATATAAAATTGCAAGTTATTTTAGGCAGTAGTTTAACACCAACCGAAATTCATTTGAGGCGTGTAAACTTGTATAGACTCTCGAATCTCAATATACATTCTGAAGAAAAGAGTGACGTCATTTAAATGTGATCATGAGTGTGTCCAAGATGATCCACGTGAAAGACTTCCACCCAAAATCATCGCCAAAGTGTACGATATGGTTTTGAACCATACGGCGTATAAAGGTGTGCGAAATTGATAATGGCATAAGGATATCAATGGAACGTGTTAATTACATCTTGCTCCAGGAATTAAACATGGCTTAAGATAGATTGTGTGTTTGCATATTGCGGATAACAAATACATTCGCATGCTATTCCGAAAAGTACTTTAAGGAAAACAAAATGTAACTTTTTGCGCTAATACGTTTTAATGGATGAACAAGAATAAAACATATTAGAATCTTAAACCAGACTAAAACAGACCCAACTTAAAAAAGAAAAATAATTATTTTTTATCATGATAATGCACATACCCACAAATATGTTTTGGCGGTGGGAAAATTTAGGGATCAGCTCTATGAAGTTTTGGGACATCCACCCTATTTTCCAGATTTGCTTCCATCGGATTTCCATATCTTCTCAAACTGAAGACATTTTTCTCTCAAAGCCTTTGAGCCTCTTCCAGAACACTACAAAGAGATCATACCGGCATGGAAACGCCACTAGTGATCTATGTTTAAAAATAAAATTTCTGTGAAAGCATGAACGGTCGATTTCACTGACACAGATCGTTTATCACTAACTAAACTTCATATTTTATGAGTTGGAACAACGCAATTGATGAAGATGTCCACAAACATT